TTTATGTGAAAACAAAAACCTATTTAGTAAATACTTTAGTTGGTTGCTTTGAAGAAGCTACTATAACTAGAAGATGCTTGTAAATGACTATACAATGACTAAGGTTGTATTTGATACTATTGATATTTTTACATCAAATATTTTAAGTAGATGAATACAAGTTGGTAAGAAATATGTGTTGTGACATGCATCTAAGAGTGTCAATGGATCGGTTTTGGATTGGACTTCATCCAAACCAAAATTAATTTGGATGGATTGGATGGACCAACAAGATAGGTTGAATTGGATCAGTTCAGATTTAATGGTCCAAACTATTTATTGGGTTGGATTGGACCCGTTCCATCTGTAAAGAATTTTTATTGGATTGGGTTGGATTGAGACAATATCTAGTTTATTGATAGAAGATAAGAATATAGGTGTTAATGGATCAGGTTTGGGTTAAAACCAATTTAAATTAAAACAAAATTGAACAAATTGGATGGCCCAGACATTGAATTGGACCAGTCCAAAATAGTCCAAAATATTCATTGGATTGGACTGGACCTGGTCCATTTGTAATGGACTCACATTGAACTGGATCAGATTGGACCAAATCCAGTTAAATTGACACCCCTTACATGCATCACATATAAGAGTTACTTTACATAGAAAAAATGCATGTTAAGGCTCCATTGTTTGTGGGAAAATTTGGGTGGGATGGGAATGGGAAAGTGTAAAAATTTATACTTCCATTGTTTGGTTTTATATATGGAAAAATAATGAGAAAAACACTATGACGAGCTACTTCTTCGCCGGATTCATGTAAGGTGAAAAAGAGAGCTCCATGACTGCAACGACAATCAGAGAGAGAGAGAGAGAGAGAGGGAAAATGAGGGAATCATAAACAATGGATGATCGAAGAAACTAGTCAAAACCAGTGAAATAGTTGCGGAGACGATAGGAATGATGGAGTATAGTCGTTGTGGGGTGCTCTGTTTCACCAAGAGGAAGACGAACAATAGTTCGTCGGCGGAAAGCAAAGACGATGAACGGAGAGGTACTAGAGGGTAAATGATCTTGGTCACCGCTACTGGTATTTCCTGTGTTTGTTGTTGAGAAGACGATGAACAATGCTTTTTTTGGGTGAAAAACAAAAGACAAAAGAAGAAGAAAGAGAAGAAGAGAGGAGGGAGGGAGGAAGGGAGTGGCTAAGAGGGGATGCCGCCACCGCTGCTCTGCTTCTGGGTTCGAACGGGGAAGGGGAGGTAGCAGATCGCTGATGGTAACGGGGATGGCACTAATTCTCTTCCTCCTCTGTTCGTCGTCGTTGGTTCCCTCCTCTGTTCGTAATTGATAGTAACAGTGGTTTCTCAAATTTTTCCACCGGGGTCGCACGATTTTGGTGCAACTCCAAATCCACGATTTTGGGATCTGACATCCCACATTTTTCTCATCCCATCCCTCTATTTCCCTCAAAATAAATGAGAGAAAAAGAAATATTTTTAGAATATTCCCTTTTTTCTCATCCCCATCTCACAAACCAAACAGAATAAGTACAGAAAAAAATGCTTGTTAAGAGATCCTAAGTTTCAAATCCCGGTGGTATACACCGCGTCTCTGGCAGAAATTGGCGGCGGAGATAAGTTGTAAGTGTGTGAACTTCTATCCATTCGCCGGAAGCCTCTCATGGCTAGAAGAATCCCCCAACCCCACCACCTCCATCAAAGAAGTGAACATCTCTCGCCGGAAGGACACATGGATCCTTGTCCTTTTGTGCATCTCCTCATTAGAAACCTAATCAAACTCAAGAACTACCCTCAATAATCTAGTATCCGAACTTTTAAAATGTGACAATCTAGTATATGGACCGTCAGTTATGTATATCAGATAATTCATGTACGATTTAAGACTTTTGAAAATATCAAAATTACCCTTAGAAATAAATACATTGTTCATCATCTTCTTTCTCAATAAAATGAAATAGAGGCCAAACTCTCAACAATCCAGACCATTATTTCATGATGAAAACCCATCAAGGCAAGAGCCAAAGGAAGACGGTTACAATTCACGTAAACTTACCAGAGTTCATCAAATTTTCTAAAACTCGATCAAAATCTTCAAGTCTCTGATGCAGAAGCTCCACTTCCAAAACACACAGAAACCCTCAAGCTTCGATTTAAAGCTCAGCTCTTCCCAATCTTCATAGCTTTATAATGACTTGAAACTTATAAATTCACAGAACCCATGTCTAATATCCCAAGACCTACTTCTCGTTACAGTGAAAATTGATCAAACTCAGACCCTAAATGCTTGATCATATTCAGTTTCTATTATTACTCAAATCCCTGCTCAGCAGCTATGCAAGACAAAAACTCAAATTTCCAATCTCCATGTTTAAATAAACAAAGCACATGTCTAGAAACTGAGAAAATTCCAACTGAAGCCAAAGAAAAGTCCTCCTTTCTGTCTTTCTGAAATCTCATTTTCTCAAATAATCAAAACAACCACTTTTCTAGAACCCAGCTCAAAGAATACATTCCCAATCAAGAGGAGGCTAAAGATCTCAACTGAGTTCCAAGCAAATTATCCATCGCGAATTCTTCTTCATAAATCACCAAAAGACCCGTGTCAAAGACTTCCACTTGATAAAACCTTCCTTTCCGAGAAGAAAATGAATAAGAAATAACTGTTAAGCGTAAAAAAAATGTCAAGAAACAGGAACAGAAACAGAGTTCCTGGTCAGCTTAAACTACAATTTTTATTCATGGGTGTAGTCGTCGTTCTTCACGTCCCTTCTATGTAAGCGTCTGGCGGTCTGAACTTGACTCAACGGAAGAGATAGTTTGGCTTTGCGTTTGCTTCTTTTGTTAAACCATGTCATGTGAAAAGGATAACAGAGGAACTGAAATACAAAATTTGTTTTAGAAAACGACCCAGAACGGAGCCGTTCTGGCCACCGGTTTCTGGGTCTACAGTTCAATTATTTGTAGGTGCTCGGCCTCCCTCTCTATAGTTGTTGCAGATTTGTAGATTTGCAGATTGCAGATAGTTAATAAAGAAAATCAAATGACATTTGAAGGGCATTTGTGCCTTTACCTATGACACTTAACGGCTGATTAAGTATTAGATTGTCCTATTTTGAAAGTTCGATACTAAATTGGCACTCTCGGCCTAAAGTACAAGGTGTTTATAGAAAATTTTCCCATATTTTAATGGCAATGATAATTTTCCGAGACAGTAATGATAGCATTAAATTAGAGAATAGTCAAACAGGAAGGGTATACTTGGTCAATTAACTAAACCATAAAGATGCTTTAAGACATGTACCCAAAAAGAAACCTCCCAAATAGCAGCTCCCATCTCCTAGCCTCAGACACTTCTCACATCACTGCCCATAGGCCATTAGGTGTGCATTGCAAAAATATATAAAACCCAAATATACCATAATTCAGCCTTAGAAATAAGAAGACTTTTTGGTGAAATTTCTTTTAATAATTTTTCCAAAGTGGTTCAATAAAAACAACTCAAGAAACAAAGCTTCAACCCTTTCAAACAGGCCCCAAAACCAACCGAAAGAGCTTTTTGCAATTCCTACAGATGATATCTAACTTGCCTTTAGGCTATGTTTCGCTTTGAAGGAAAATGTAGGGAAAGACAGGGAAACCTATACAAGGTTTGTAAATATTTTCCTACCTTTTCCTTTCTTTCTCTGCATTTTCCTTCAAACCCAACATAATAATCACTTCACTTAATCCTAATCAGAAAGATTAAAACCTTAATAACATTATTTTATGTTTTTTGAAAATTTTACTCTTCATCTCCTCTATGATGTTTGCCGCGCAAGAAAGATTTATCATAAGTCATAACTCATAATAAACTATAGTCATTTCTAACACTTGTTTTTTTGAATTTGTACTAAAGGAACAAAAAAAGAAAATAACGTCAATAAACAAATACTAATGAAACATAGGATTAATATATGTAGTGAAAGTTGAGTTGAGATCTAAAATTGAGAAATTCTATGAGGTTTGAAAAGATAGAAAGACCGACCCAAAATTGACTTTGAGTTAGATTGGGTTGAGTTAGGGTCGAAAGAATTTAGTTAGGATTGGATTGAAAGTCGATTTGGATTAGAGATAAGGTTTAAAACTTAAGGTTGATGTGGGGTTGGCCTCAATTGGACCTAACCCGGCCCGACTTGCAGCCCTACTAGTAGCCCCAAGTCCTTGATCTTTATGAAATTGCAAGTCTGCATAAAAAAATTATTTATCAACAAAAGTATGCATAAAAAATGTTGGTTTCAGAAACAGAAAGCACATTTTCCCCTTAATTAATTTTTTATAACGTGCATCACAAGAATTTAAGGTCCAACCGCCACCTAGATTTCACATTCCCAGGACCAGTTTAGGATTCCAATGATCTTTATCCTCTAAATAAATTACCTTTATGCATTAATTATGAACTTCAAAGCCCAATTAGCTAAATTTCAGCACAGAAGCATTCAGAGTACCACTTAATTTGAAAACGGGCATCCAATGTTCTTGTAAAATATTGCTGGCCCGGCTAGTGTAGCACTCGGTTCTTTTTCCCCTGATAGAAGGATCCTTGTTTATTATTATGTATCAGAAGTCTTGGTATACAATCAATACACTAATTTATTAATTTATGGAGTGTTCTCCAACGGAAATTGTTTTTCTGGTGCAAGTTTCAAAAACAAGACAACCAGCTGGCTTGAAAATAAATCAGTTCTTAAAAACATAAAAATATTGTTCTTACATCTTTTTTTTTCAAACTGAAACAAAAATCATGTTCTTCAATTTCTACAGTTTAAAAGAAATGTTTTCATCTATCATACGTAAATTATATAATTTCTATAATTGTAGAATGCCCCCTATTTTTCTGATTCTGAGAACTGAATACTTAGAAAAAGAATTGGATTCTTATTTCTCCCTCATTAAGGACCCTTGAAGGTATTAAAGTAATACCACTACGTTCCATGATCTTGGCGTTGAATGTGAGTGGAGATAAGAGAGATCTCTCACTATCTCAGTCTCTCTAGCCTGCCGTCCTCTAATCTGCATCTCTCTCACTCTCTCTCTTTAGATCTCATGGATCATGGGATGGGTGATAGTGGAACAGACACAGAAGTTTCGCCTCCACAAATATCAAGCGATGTGTCAAGTGTGGCCATGCCTTCTCAGAAGTCTATGATGCACGGGAGTTTTTTCTGGGGCAAGGATGTGGAGATTCTCTTCTCTGGGTGGCCTCAAGGCGAGCTTGGCATGTACATCTTGGCTCTCTTCTCAGTTTTCCTCCTCGCAGTGGCTGTGGAGATGTTATCTGTTTGGAGCGTCAAGTCTGCAGGGATGAAGGCAGCTGGGACGATAGCCAGAGTGACTCATACTGGGCTGTACCTTCTTCGCATGGGTCTCTCTTACTTGATCATGCTCTCTGTCATGTCCTTCAATGGAGAAGTCTTCCTCGTCGCTGTTGCTGGTCATGCTGTTGGGTTCTTTCTTTTCAGAAGTCTGGTCGCCCACCAACCCCAAACTCGTCTCAATGACAAGCCAATCACTACACTACCAATCTCAGTCGTGTAGAAGCCTAGCTAGTTTTTCAGTTGTTACTTACTAATAATTAATTAATGACCCTTTATTGTACCCATTAGTCCTACTTAATTCTAGGACCTTTTCCTTTCTTATGAATTCTTGGTGTTTTCTTTTTTTTTTTTTCTTATTTTTAAGGACCCTAATGTCAACTCCCTCAAAATAAGATTTTCAAGAAATAGAGGACGGGAAGACCAAGTGACAATTCTATAACAGTTGAGAGCATGTTAAGTGAGATGTGAGTTATTCTGTCACAATGAGTGAAATTGACTTAGAAATCAGACCATACACTGGTATTTCTAATTTAACACGGTGTTTCAGATGAGGTCGCCAACACTCAACCGAAGATCAGAAACAGACTTTGCATCAAACCGAGATCAAGAGCCATAAGTAAGCCAACATTGTAAGGATTCAAGTCGGATACCTGATTTGAAGAGTTCGCACTACATCAGGCCCAGGCTGTTGGGTCAAGCCCATTCAAATTTTAACAATTTCCAATTCGAATATGCCCAAATTGCACCCCCTACAGCCTGATCTTGGGTCAGGCTTGAGCTTAACTTTTGTCAAAATTTAAATGGACCTAACCTGAAACCTGATAGTTAGATTTTTCTTAAAACTAGGAACAACCATCCCTCATTAGCTGGTTTGTCCCAGCGGAGACGCGGATTTGATACCTGCAACCATTGACTTTGGAGAGGAGGGGTTATTAGTGTGGTGCTGTATTATTCAAATTGCCCCTATTGGGGATTGAAAGAACAACCATCCCTCAACAAAATCCTTGTTGGGATCAAAATAGTATAAGAGGACAAATTATAAGAGATTGACCTTGGAATATACAAGTAGCAGTGGCATATATCTCTTGCCTCTAACAATACTTATAAGCTTGCCTTCAATTAATTAAAAATAACCTTGGGTGGTTACCAGAAAAAAAAGACATGGGTACCTTGACCGTGGAATTGCATAATTGAATATTTAGATTGGCTGAAGGAAGGAGTGATTATTAGGGATATCAATAAGTTAAGTTTAATGTCGATGACCCAATAAAGGGGCATGCTCTACATTTGAACTTGACTTATTGAATATTTAGATTGGCATTTCTCCATTTGAAGAGACGTGGATTCAAATTCATAAAGGGACATCGGACATGCTCTCCACATGGTTAAAGTCCGATTGGGAGGGTTTCTGCATTGATTGAGCTTTATTAACCATTTTGGAGAAATTATACTTGAGATAGTTGAAAAGTCGATTTTGGAGTTCATGTAGGCCTATTTTTGGCTTTCTGGTTTTATACCAAACGTGACCTGAGATGATCTGAGATCGGCTTCTATCAGGGAAAACTTATGCCCTTACCATTCTAATAGCCTTTTACAACCTTGCATTAAAATATCTCCCCATAAAATAAAGCATACAAGTATGAAGATATTCTCAATGCAAGACAATAAAGACTGCTCGAATGGGCTTTGCCCTGACTAAAGCCGTGACCCATGGCATTTCGGTTCAGGCTTCTCAGCTCACGTAACATCAAAAGCCACTGCATAAAAGTCCTTTCAAATTGAGAACTAAATAGTAGTGGGTCCGTGTAGGATCCCACTAATTGGGTCAAGTGTTTAGTACCCCACCTGTAGGGCCAAAGCTGCATCACATGTATCCAACAATAAGGGAAAAGTACGGATGGGCCCGATTCAGATTCCTGAAACCCAACCCACCCCTAGAAGTAGAAGATTTCGAAAGCCCAAATAACTTTGGTAGAAACATTTGATGGGCATGTTCCACATGTAAGGCAACTTGTCTATGCTAATGACATGGAAAATGACTTAAATAGCCTCCCCTAAATCCTAATGTTTTCTAGTTAAGGGATCCTTTTAGGGGATGTTTGAAACTGTGGCCGTTTTTCAAAAAAATGGTGCCATGTCCGATTCACATAGGCATTTCAACAAATGCCCATATATCTCATTATTTGGTTCAGTCAATTATTAAAAAATTGGGCATGCCTCGAAAATCTGCATCGGTGAACCGTTTGCCCCCAACGGTTGACTGATGTGTATCCTATGTGGTGCTTACCTGTCAATACATACATGAAAAACAGTGATGAAAATCACCTTACCAAACAACATAGTGTTGCTCACTACCTACGTAGCAGAGGCATTTTTTTGTGAAAAACGGGTCTTAGAAGCATGGACATTTTTTCTTGAAAATCAGTCCCAAAAAGTTCCCACGCTTCCAAACACCATGTTAATCTATTCAAAGTCTTGAGCTTCACCAAGACTACATCAAAGGGAGTGAAAATCAAAGCCCTATTTTTTTCTCCCCTCTTTTTCTATTACGTTAGAAAAATCAAAGGTACATAATTTTACACCTTCTTAGTATATATTTGGCATCGATGCTACAGATGCTGAGAAAACGGTGTTGCTGCTGATGTGTGGGTTAGAAGTAGAAAACTGTGCCTTTTTTTTTTGTTTGGAAATGTTGCTGCCAGGTAGGACGTTTCTTGGAGCAACAGCAATGCTTTCTGTTTGGTACCAATGCTCCAAGAAACGTTTTCAGCACCGGTACCCATTATCTAGTGCCACGTCATTACCACCTCACATCCATGTTGGCAGTAACAAAATACAGCTCCAAGAAATGCCAAATTTGACATTGCTCCAAGTCATGCCTTCCCAATTTCTAAGGTATGGCTTGGAGTACCATTTTTTATGAAAAAACGGTTCAAAAAAATGCTCGTTTTTTATGAAAAAACACCTTCATCTGATGTTTTGATCTATATATTAAATGAGAATGGCTGAAGGAGAAACCCCTTTGGTTTGTAGTTTGTACCAAGCATCACAGATCATGTCACCAACCAAATTAGAAATTTAGAACCCAGTAGTGTGATAAGCTTCGGGCATATGAAAGAACAAGCAAAATGGTGCTCTCTGTCTCATTTAATCAACTGAAATCCTTCAAAATAATTAAAAAAGGCAACCAAATCCAAATGAGGATTATCTTGTTTATAATCCTCCCTCAATTATTTCATTTTCATTAGTTAGCACTACTAAAGGGAAACATTCCCATCTGCAGGATATCAGGTAGCAGGGAACCCAGTCAGGCAAATGGTTTAATTACTGCTGGAGGCCTAGTGCTTGTGTGGGGCGTTCCAATTTGGGCGTCTCTGATAAAGACTAGGCCTTGTGGTGTAAACTCTCCCTCCTCCTGGACTTGTCTGAAAGGGATAGAACCAGAGCAAACTTGTTGAACATTGAAGATAGCAGAATCCAGCAATCAAATTGAGACCCTCCATCTGTTTTAATTCTCATAACAGTGCAGTGACTAGTCAATTCCTATGATGAATAATGAAGATGATGAAGCAAATGGTGGTGATGGTGGGCACGACGGTGAAATGCTTCTAGTAGTAACTCTGAAATCAACTTGGTGCAGGATCAAATTGCCAATGAACTATGGGTGAAATATCAGATGACTTAATAGCATGTTTGCCGTCTAGTGTAAATTGTGTTCAATTTGCTTTTATTTCGTACATATATTATACATTGGTCTACTTTGATAACATACCATTAGCTTATATTGCAGAAGATGTGCACATTGCTATTGTTAATTCCATTATGTTACCATTAGAATATTCATGATACTTGTTTTTACAATTGCCATATAAAACTATATGTAGATACTAATGACGGAAGGAGTTTCTTTGCCAATGTACTCATGTGGAGAGGGAGAAATGACAACGCATATGGCCAAGACCGATAAAAACTATGGACGGTGGTTCATCCGTTGTCCATTGAGAGGGAATCACAGAGGCTCTTTCATATGGGTGGACTAATACAATGGGGGATACCCAATACTCGGTAGGAATGCCCCAAAACAACACTGTTGTTCGACAGTTGTGCAACCACATCCAAATAATAGTAACGTTGCTTTGTTAGCTTGTTGTGGTTTCAATATCCCGTGTTTTATATTTTGGGCATGGGTATGCTTGATTGTTCTTTTATTCCATCTTATGAAATAAAAATGATAAAAATATGCAACTTGTCTAGTAGTGTAGACTTTTTTTGAATTTAACTATGTACAGAAAACTAAATAGATTTCACAATGATGTAGGCTTATATACAAAAACTTATATGACTTATTACTTATCGTTGCAAACTTGTTAGTATGGAATACATAAGGATTTTGTTTTTTTATTTTTATTAATTTTATTGGATGTAATTGAGAGAGAGAGAGAGAAAAGAGTAAATTGAGACGTGAAATTTACTTGAATTTGGGCTTTGGCAGGCCCAAGCCAAGCCCAAATTGATCTACCTTGCCAATGGTATCTTTGTTATTCAAAAGAAAAAAAAAATAAGTGGTTCAATAAAATGTTGGAAAGAAGATAGATATTGGCAACTTTACATTTCATAAATGTAAAACAATTCCGTGTTGTTTTGCTCAATTTTCTTTTGAATAACATTAATAGCCATCATTCCCTTATAGGTAACAAAGATAGATTGATAGATAGATAGATAGAGAGTCAAAGTGAAAGTGTCATATATCCACCGTTGGATGTGGATTATATAATATATTAACCGTTGGATCTGAAAATCGGTCTTCAAATTGAAGCATATGTAATTTGGACTGTTGGATTGACTAATGTATCTTATACACCACAATGAAAGTGTCACACTGAAACATCCATATGGTTGTTTCTTGAAATGCCCCACTGAACAGCATGAAATGGAAAAATGTTTATTGTTGCTGAAGTGTAAAGGGGTGTTTCTTAAAACACCAAGATTAAACATAACTAAACAACAAAGTGAAAAACGTTTAAAGTGGGCGTTTATCAGATAAACGTTTTTCTAATAAACGCCCACCCAATAAACATAAACGGAACCAAACACATATAGTATCTTCTAATTGTTTCCTCCTTGGAGAGAAACTCTTTTTTACCACATACTATGGGTCTAAACAAGTGCGATATGGTTGTTGTCTGCAACGATGAAAAACAACGATGTGTGATTCTGGACGTTCATGCCAATTTCATCATGAACATTCAGGCCAATTTCTAGTTATTAGGGAACAATGTTTCACCCAATTTCATCATTAATAAACTAAAAAAAGAGATGAAAAACGAAGCAA